CTGATTAGGCAGAGGAAGAGTAGAGTTTTTCTTGACTTCCTCAATGAGTCGTGAAGCTTTTCCCGTACTCAAAGACATGCCTGAATCAGGTAGAATGTAATTGCTTAGACACTTGTGAACATTTCGGGTACAGCACACTGAATACCTCGTTTCATTCAGCTCAAATTCGTCCAGAGACGCTTTGGCAGGTGTTTTATGCGTGGGAAGAATGAAATCAGGCACAACAGAGGTCGACGGTTCCAAACGCTGAAAATCTTTCGTTGTCAGGAAGAATGAGAAGGGAATGCATTTGAAATACACCTTTTGGTGAGCTCGCAACTTTGCCTTCCAGTTGGTTAATTCTCCTCGCGCTGACCCTTTATAGGCGCAGACTTCACTGCATTGGAGGCATCCTTCGCGTGTTCCTTCTCCACGGCTATAACTTCCACATTACAAAATGCGGGGGGGGATAGAATGGCACCCATATCAAGGAATATTCTCCTGAGAGGACACCTTTTGGCTCTTGATCCGCTGTGCCTGTTCATGAACTGCTTTGACAGCGCCTTTTTGGGCCAGCACTGCTTGAAGTTCCGCAACACTTCGTATGCGAGCACGTGCTTTAATTTGGGCAGCTAAAAATGAGAAACTTGGTGAAAAATAAGTGGAATCTTCTCGCAGTCCAAATGATAAACTCGACTCATGCAAACTGAATAGCATGAGATCAGAAGAATTCCCACATACCCTTCGATGTGAGCCTCTCGCTCAAGCTCTTCGGCCCTAGAGATCAACAAATCTTAGCGAGAATACAGCGACGCACCATTCGGTTTCTCTCGACGTCTCTGATTTCACTGTTGCGGAGACATTGGTTCTAGTTGTCATTTCTACTGTCGCAGTCGATGAAACCTGTGTTCAGAATGATAGATCTAGTCATGGTATTCAGGTAGAAGAACGAAAATAAGACGCCTACCAGTACATCCGTTTGGCTGACCTCAACAACCATTTCCTTTTTTGGCGAACTTTTTTTGTTGTCGTCAGTGGCGAAAAGAATTTTTCTAGCGCTTCGTTGTGTGTGATCGGTACACTACAACGTTTCTCATAAATCGTGAACTTTGATAAAATCAAATAATACTCAGTTCTGAGCCACACCTTCTTCGCTCTCTTTGGGGGTGAACATATAGTTTCCGCTTTTGCTGATGAACAAACGCCTTCAGTCAATTCCTTGAAATAGTGAAATTTGAACAGGCCGATAGCATTTCGCAAACATAGCCTACAGCTCACCTGCTGAATAAATCCCGATGCCAGGAGGGGCTTTGTATCGACGCGAGTCTCATCGCCGTGAAGCTTTTTCTGTGTTCTTCCTCTTCCTCTTGTGACCTTCAATGGTACATTGAGAGCAAATCATTATAATGCTAAACTTCTGCCGAATAAAGTGGGCCCCTGTTCGGAAAGTGAAGGAGGAACTCAGACGATGGCGAGCTCACCTTGAACACATCGGTAATCTTCCTGGTCTGTTCCAAGGGCTCTTCTAGCACAATTTTGGCTGCTCGAGCTCGCGTGCTACGACATGACATTTTCTTTGGCGAGTGTAAGTTCCAAGGGTTAGTCGGTTGAGGGTTATTCTGAAAAGGGCAAACAAGTACATCGAAAAAGACATTGAGTTTCAATCGCAGAGCATGGACGTAATAGACACCACTCAACAATACTCGGAATTTAGTCACAATCTAAGGAAGGGCACTTTTCCAAGTCTACAACTGTAACACTTCGCGGAAAAGAACTGGAAGAACACCCATCAACGAAGTTCGAGAAAATTTGGCTCACTATTTCGAACTGAAATGGCAAAGCACAAAAGCCGAACTCATCGCGAAACTTACTGACAGAAACCTTTGAGATCAAACAAAAGATGAAGAAGGAACAAAAACGAGGCTATAAACCCATATTTTAATTACTTAAAATATTCAAACAAGCATGCCTGTTTCTTTTCCCGCCAAAGGAAATCTCCATGGAGCGCGCTTGTTGACGTGTAGTACTTGGTGCCGCTGGGC